TGCCTCTGATGCAACTCAAGTTTTATGGACGGATTGCTCTGTCAATTAAGAAAGACATTTCGTAGACACACCGGAACTACTGAAAACTTTGGTTGGCACTTTTGGGCAATCTAGATGATGTCAGTGGGTAATTGCTATATTTTGTTGTTAATTTTCCATATCTGTGTATTGAGTAGGTATTTGTCGATTACATCAATAATGAATCCTGCAAATGTGCCAAAAAAGCACCAGGAATTAGACAATTGAATAAAAAATATGCATTATTTTTCATAATTCATTAAATCTTCTTCAAAGTAGCCCCCTGTCGAAATAATATACTTACGCAAATGAACAAACCAATCATCAGAACATATTTTAAACGCATAAACGGTGCCTCTAAATGGTAATTTGAGTTTCGGAAAAAGAAAGACATCGGCCGGAACCGAATCAGGTGATTACGGTGGCTGTTTGTGGTAGAAAATCCATGAGTTTTCTGGGCATATATCTGGTCTTTTTCGGCGAATCTCTCAAACGCCGTGTAACCATCAGATAATATTCTTTATTTATGGTCTCAATTTCTGCCAAGAATTTCGAGTGCACAAACTGTTAGCATCCCCGTCGCACGTGAACAAAATTCAGGTTATGAAGTCATTAAGTACCATCTGATATTACTGATAGTGGTCATATTTGGGATAGAAAGTTTTTGGCTTTCTACTACTCCATCTTGATACAAAAATTGTGGAAATCTTCCAAAGAAAGGAAGAAAGCAATCAATTTTCATTTTTTCGGTTAATTTTTTTGTTTTTTTGTAAGTCTTCAGGATCATCAATGGCCAATTAGGTATCATCTGCAAAGAGAACGACTGAATTTGAACTGATATAGTCAGGTAGATCGTTTATGAATAACAAGAAAATAAGTGGCCCCAAGATCGATCCCTGAGGAACTCCCCGGTCCATCTCATAATATTCAGATGTATGCACTCCGATTTTAACTGATATTTTCCCGAAGCATATGTATGACATCAGCCATGACAAGAAATTTCCACAAAAACCAAAGGAATATAATTTACAGGTCGAAACTGCAGTAACGATAGTTACAAATACAAATGGCCTGAGAACCTAGGAAGTTTCAATTCTCATTTATCGAGACTAATTTCGGGTTTTTTATCAAAACTTTCACCTAGCGCTGTGCTACATATGTTAGGAAATTCATGTTGTTTTTCTTGTACTAGTGTCAATAATGGTCCTTGTTTATGAGATATATAAGCGTAAAGAAATGAATCAATGTATCATGGCCAGCTTTCCGTAACACGGAGGGTTTGACCAATAGCAGTAGTGTTATCTCCCGAAGATGAATCGGTCCCGTGAGAGCATCATTTTTCAGCATCCCAACACGTTTCAAAAATAAAATTGACCGAAAGAGAAATTGAAGTGAACCAAACATTATAACTGATCAATAAGTTAGAGACATAGAAGGTTTAATCATTTACAGACAAAAAACGCAGAGAATATTACGCAAATTACTACAAACCAGATGCTGCACTATCAATGATATAGAAATTCATGGAGGAAGTTGAGAAAGGACGAATTATTGAATATTTGGATTACTATCTATTCAAAAAATGAGGTGAATTTTCATTTTTCTCAAGAAATAAGAAATTTATGTGTTGGCCCTTCGAAGTAGCCTCAGATACAATATACTCGTGCCAGCGTTTTTTCCAATCATCAAAGCAGTTCTGATATGTCCTTAAACTCTCCCAGAGATTCGGTTTTAATCTCCCCAGTCGTCACAGAACGCCGTTCTTTCATGGGCCTCTTCAATCTTGAAAAGTCGCAGGGTACCAAATCTGGTGAATACGGTGGCTTAAGCATGATTACGGTGTTGTTTTCAGGAAAAAATTACGAACAAACAATGGGAAATGAGCAGGTGCATTATCGTTATGGAAAAGCCATAAATTGTTTTTTCACAATACCGGACGTCTTCTTTGTATTGCTCGTAAGCAGCGCATAAGTTCAAGAAAATACTCCTTATTTACCGTACGACCATGTGGCAAGAATTCCTGATGCATTACGCCACAGTAATCGAAGAAAACATTGAGCGAAACTTTGACATTTGTTTGAATTGGCCTGCAAGAGTTTTTGAGCATTTATTTTCATTTCTTGCATTGTAATAACGCATTCGAGAAACACTCTTAATCTCTTCTTGCACTTCTTTAACATACTGTATGAGAATATCGGATACTTGAATACTATCTTATTCAAATTAGATTAATGTCTAATACGAAAATTTGTGCCATTAGATACTTAACCTATTTGACTTTGCATCACAGAATGAGAGACCTTCACTTTTTGTTTTACATTTCAGTTTCCTACAGTAATATATTGTATTTTTACACAATCATTAATCATTTCTCAATGGGAATAACAGTGTTAGCTGCAGAATAGTATCCATTATCAGCAACTGTCGGACAGTAGGAATACATGATCATTTGTCATATAAAACGACATCATTTATTGACAGCTCTCCTGGAGCCGAAATTTTTATTAACAACTAGCTCTTCACTTATCATTTGACACGGGCTACATTGTATGATACAAACAAAACGTGCTCCTGACGATTCTAAATGTGAATACAAGGTTTGACTGGAAAATAACAGGAATTTCTCTGTGTAACTTATTTTATCATTCTTTCCTCAACAATTATCATTCAATTTATTTCAATATACCCCTTTCACTATCTCTGCAGTCTCTCATTCAAATTGTTCACTATTCAAGACTTCCGGAAACAAAAAAAAGTCACACGGAGCTAGAGTAGGAGAGTGGGGTGGATGTTCCAAAACAAGTATCCTATGCTTGGTCAAAAAATAGTTGACATTCAATGCAGTGGAACTTGTTCGTTCACAAATTTGGTTGTTTTTCTCTCACATTTACCTTAAGATAATATAATTTCCTTACTCTTTTTTTCGCAGGGGCCCAATTTTCTTTGGGACTGTTACTAATAATAGGTTTTTAGATGCTTTCGCAAGTTTATAAATAAAAAAAATGCGTAATGAGATCTATAACCAACTACAAAGGTCTCCTATCGAAAAATTCATTTTTGTAGTCGTGATGCACTGTTTAGAACCTTTGGTGTGGTAGTGAACATTACTGGACTTCAATTCCAACACCAAATCATTATATTTAACGCCGCGACACGTGTTTCGACAACCAAGTGATCACTTTCTAGATGATATTGAACAGTAGCTACAGATGGAAAATAGGTAAATATCCAGTTATCATAACCAGATAGTCGTTAATATTTAAACAGATGAAAAAGTACAATACCAAAAATAACTAATACTGGGAATTAATCAGATTAGCTCCATTTTATTAGCCTTATTATCGAGAAGGATTGTTCGGCCAGTTTTATATGATAGCCCTAATTTAGTCGTAGGAACTGATGATGTTAACAGGGTCACTGAAATTCGCGCTGAGAGGCAGTATGTGGGAAGAAAGTCTACCTATTGTGTAGGCCAAACCTATGAATTTCACAATTTTCATCGAACTATCAAAATCGTTTAGCAAAATCGTTGAAACATTTTGGAACTATTCCTCTAGCACCAAGAAATATTTCGGAAATTTCAATATGGTTAGTGATTCTGAACATTTACCATCCCATTCCCACTTTAAAACTTCATAACAGATTGTTTAATATCGTTTATATTGTATTCTATAGGGTTTTTTGGGTGGTTATTTTCATCCTCCATTTCCGTGCGATCAATCCAGTCTTTTTCATATTGAAATCCAGTCCTTATCGAATCCGCATGGCCGTCGATTCATCATAGAAAAATAAAATTTGGTCAGTTCCAGCGAGATACATCAACATCCAATCTTTCACCGGCCGTCAGCTGTCTTCAGTGCTTATCTCGACTGTTTCTTTATTGTTCGCAATCCAGTTATCGATATAGTCTACCCACTGCTCGTAGATCCACAGGGAGTTCCTGAGATGGATGGATTTTTTATAGGCTACATCTATATTCCAATTTCGGTTCGGTGTTCTGTCGAATAAAATAATCAGTTACTCACGACGGCGTGGTGATTCTGATGCGGTCGGAAGGGGCTGGGAACAATGCTGTAGGTGAAGAGAATTGTAGGTATACAAGTATATTATATTGTTTCATCTTACGGTAATTATATGCCAATCAACAACATTTTTGGAAAGATAGAGACTAAGGGTCACTTTATAATATATTAAAAAGTTATCAGGAAAAAATGTGTGTGGAAATGGATTGCTATACAATAAAGTAAATGTGTAGCAATCCTATAAATGATCTCTGATTCAATTCCGTAACGAATTTTTGGAATATAAACTGAGTATAGAATAGTGATTTTTGTATAATTCAGTGTTTATATGGAAGTATTTGTTTCTTTCGTGCAATTCAATGTTTATATGAAAGTAGCTGTCTTGAGAGAGTTTTTTCATCCAGTTTGTGTCTGAAAATCACTTTTTTTCATGATCTTAACATCTATGAATAGAGTTAATTTTTCTTTTACTTCAATCATTGTGCTAAAATATTCATTATCTTTAAGAAAAGAATAACTATTTTTCAAAACTGGCAAAGAAAACATAATCCTTCCGAAAGATTAACGAAAAATATGACAACTCTTGGTCAATTTTCTATAATAGTAGAATATATTTTGACAGCGATGAAAAAATTGTACTAGAGAAATCAGATACGCTGCTTCTGAGTACTATTCACTGGTTAACTACTTAGAAGAAACCTTGTCGCCGGCATATATCGTAAAGTTTTTGAAAATTATGGAGCTGGAAACACGAACAAGAACAACAAACACGAACAAAGAAGAGCTACTTTTCTTAACTCCAAATCGCAGAAAACGAGGCTTCTATTTCCTTCCTAGAAGGAAATAGAAGCATCAAGTGAATATTTAATTCAAAGGATAATTTGAAACATGGATGAAATTCAGGAAAAACTCCGTTTCAAAGATTGCTGTCAAATGACTTGACAAACTGTCAAATTATCTTGTCATTCAGAAGTAATTTCAAAAATGTGTCATGTTATATTCATTTCAAGAATATCGGAAATATGATCAGTATCTACAGAAATCCAGAATAAAATATAGTCATTTGATGGATGCCCAAAGAAAACGTTGTGCTGCTGGAGAATTAGAAACAGGTTTATTGATTTGGTCAATTTCAAGTGCGATTTCAATTCAATTTCAAACCTGAACTGATTCAGGACGTTTAAACTTGAAGTCTCAAGCATATTAATTCGCCTAATTTTTGTGACATGATCTAGAAATGTGTTAGAATGTATCTATTTAAGAAAAACTGACCATGTTTCTTTGTATGCAAACAAATTTTATGGTTAGAAAGGTTGAATTCAATTTACTGTTGAGATAAGTTTGTTTTGTTTTCGGAAGAAGGCATTAATAAAGCACTTTCGAATGATATTTCAGTATATGCAACTGATTCGCAAACACTGAAGGATCTAGCAACTCGTCTGAGGATACATAGCGTTGAATCTACGTCTGCCGCTAATTCAGGGTAAGAAATCCAAGTAATTACCTCCCAATTTGATATTTTGCATATGATTGAAGCAACAAATACATTTGATAATCAAGACACCATGACGAGAAAACTATTAAGATAGATTTATTGGAGAAATTATCGAAAATATAAACAGAAAATCAGAACTCATGGAAGTTTCTACATAAATTATTCAAACTAGGTTGATTTTATCCTTGCTGGGAAATGTGAAGAAGAAATAAAAAAAAATCAATTTCTACCTCCAAGATTTCTACAGTTCATGAAATTATTTCTTATTTTACATTCATTGAAACAAAAATAGCAAGATATTACAAGTGAGTTACCAAAATTTGTATCTTTTGATGACTACCCACCATTCGTATTTGAAAGACAACTGGCAAAAAAAATACAACACCTAAATCCCATTGATAAAATCCTAATAATGTTTTTGAATGCTTCCATTTTTTCATCAGGCATCCCACAACTTGTTCCTCCGTTTGCGAAATCCTTGCTGTACTTTTCTTCAGAACGATGCGTTACAAAGTTTCCGCACCTAGAGATCCTTCCAGCGACCGCTTCATCCTTTCGAAAGGACACGCTGCTCCTGCTCTTTACGGAACTTGGGTGGAAAACGGATTCATGCCTGCTGAAGATTTGTTCAATCTTAGACAATTGAACAGCGATCTGGAAGGACATCCTACCCCTCGTCTTAGTTTTATCGATGTTGCGACAGGATCGCTTGGACAAGGACTTGCCATTGCTAACGGGATGGCTTTTGTGGGGAAGTATATCGATAAAGCCGATTACAGGTGGGTTTTTCATCGTCATCGTCATCGTCATCATCAGTCAGTGTCAGCATGTTCATTGGTATTGTCATCATTATGGTCATCATTTTCGTCGTCTTCATTATCGTCGTGATCGAAATGACCATCATTATGGTAAATGTGGACATTGACAGTCATCGTCATCATCATCATTGACGTCTGATGAAGTAAAATGTTTAATGTATTCTTGTAAATGTAAATAATTCTTATCAATTAGTGGATGATATTAAAAACGTAATTCTTCCGGATAACGCAATATTAATATCGTTTGATGTCCAAAATTTACTTCCCAGTTCCGCCAATTGAAACAATTGGACTAGCTGAGTGTATCTTGGACAAAAACCACGTGAATCCACTTGTAGATATACTTACCATTTGTCTATCTCAAAATTATTTCCAGTTTGACGGAAAATTCTATTCATGCAATGAAGGACTAATAATGGGGAACCCTTTGAGTCCCTTGCTGGCGGAAATTTTCATGGATAACATAGAGTATGAAATCCATAATAATCAGTTAGCTAACAGTTTTTTGTACTGGTGCAGATACGTAGATGATATCTTAGTATGTTTTACTGGTACAGATAGGCAATTAGGCAAGTTCATTGAATATGCCAATTCCATCCACCCGTCAATAAAATTCACCACTGAGAGGGAGGTAAGTAATTCAATAAATTACCTTGACTCAACCATTACGAAAAATAATAATAAACATGAATTTGCAATTTTCCACAAACCATCGTACACAGACATTATGATACATAATTCCTCCACACATCCATACCAGCATAAAGTTGCTGCATTCAATAGTATGCTTCACTGATTATTGAATATTCCACTGTCTGATAGGGAGTTCCAGAAAGAGCCGAATTTGATCAAACAAATCGCGGTTAATAACGGTTATAAAGTAAATATAATAAACGCCATTCTTACCAATAAAATTCAAAAGCAAGCCATGGACTTGGTTTACCCAGATTCAAGTTGCGATAACGTCAGTATAGGACATTGGCATATTTGGGTGAACCAACCAGGAATATTGATCGTTTTTTGAAGAAAGAAGACGTAAACGTAGCTTACAGAACGAATAATAATCTGAGTGAATTTATTAAAAACAATAAAGACAAAACTTCGTTGTTGGATAGATCAGGAATATATAAGCTGACTGTGGCTCTTGTCCAAAACTGTTTATTGGCCAAACTGGAAGAACATTTTCCCAAAGAATCAAAGAGCATAGAAGTAGTTTTGTAAATAGAAAGACCAATTCCACATTTGCAAACTACCTTTTAGCAGAAGGACATGAGTTCAATCACGAATACGATGTGTTACATTCAGAAGAGTAGAGTTTGAAACTCAATCTTCTAGAATGTTTAGAAATCGATAGAGTTAGGAATTCGGGTAATTTACTGAATGATCAATTAGAATTAAATAACTCTCTGTTACTGAATATTTTTTCAAATGTGGAAAGTGGAACATAAGTTCAGATAATTAAATTCATTACACACTTAGGTAAAAAATCAGGTACTTGAAATTCAGGTACTTCAAATTGTAGAATAAGGTATATATTGCATTTAATGTGTAGAATTCGTTATTAAGACACGCCTGAGGAAGCCATTGTATGGCGAAACACGTATGGCGTTTTTGTAAAACTATCTAGTGAAAATCACACAATAAAGTGTTTTTAGAATACGTTAGTTATGAATTTTCATCAAGTATCATATATGTTCAATGTATGTTTGGAATATGTAGGTTCCTTTCTTATTTATAACAACATATTTATCATTGCAGAGTTTACTGTCTCATAGGCGATGGAGAATGCGCAGAAGGATCGATTTGGGAATCTGTGGCCTTCGCAGGTTACAATCATCTAGATAACCTGGTACTTATCTTGGATGCGAATCGCTTGGGTCAAACGGAACCGACCATGGTTGGTCATCAACTGGACGTCTACTTAAGACGACTGACCGCGTTTGGTTTCAATTGTGTTATCGTCGATGGACATGATGTCGATGCTCTTGTAGGAGCTTTCAATGCAGTTTCATCGGTTAAAGGCAGGCCCAGTGCTGTCATTGCAAAAACTGTAAAGGTCAGTTTGGAAAAATGGTAAGAGTGCGGAAGCTACTTGTTTTTTTGATTCATATTGGTTGAATATGGAATAATAATGAGAGAAATGCTGGCGTTTATCAATAGATGGCTCAAACAACTAGTGGACATGATCATCTTGATGACGGACACATCAGAAAGAGTAGCCAGTAATATACCCCAAAGTACGTTGGATCATGTTCAGAGTCAGTATCGGAGGAAGCAAATTTCTGTGAACTCCAGCAAAACTTCGTTATAAAGAGTAATCCAGGTGATTGAAATCCATTTTCCCTCAATGATGTATTCCATTTGCATGAACGTGTCTAAGGATCTGGGAAAAATCTTGGAGCTCAGTGCCCAAATGAATCCATTGGAGATATGTGATGATTGTTGGACCAATGATTACGTATGGAACAATTGCCTTGCGGCCAAAAATTTTACATCAAATGGTGCTCTCTGGGTTACCGAGACAGACTTGCCTGGCTACCATTGGATCCATCATTACCACATCGTCAGTTGCCACAGAAAAATTTCCTAGATCTCATCTTCCCGAAGAGAGAGGCTGAATATACTGCATGCAGAATTGTGCATATGATTGATTGCCAGTGTATACAATCGTAGACCTCTCCTCGATAGGAATTGTCCATATTCTGGACAAGGTATGAAATCGCGAAGGAGGATGCTGAATACATATCGTCAGTAGCATCAATATCATCAGTCATCAGCATCAGTATCATATAGGCCCCCACTCTCTTTTAATAATCGTATTAATACAGTTGGGTACTTTGAATGCGGGATACCTCTGTTTGAGAGGACTGAAACCTATGTCGTGACATGAAGTCACCCTTTTGCGACAATGGAACAAAAATATTGTGAATCGACAAAAATTTGTTCGTTTCTTGTGGTTCCTCAGAATTCTGGCTACTCGTTTTCTTCTCACAACAGATAAAGGTCAGTCCCTGAATCATTAGAGCAGAGTCTATATCAGATTATTAGACACAGTGAATTGGAACACAAAATATTCGAAGAAATTGAAATATAGCCTTCAATTCCAGAGTCAAAGTGACTTGCTAATTTTTTTCTAGATGGAAGCACACACTCTTATCATTATTTCCATAAAAGGACAATTTCACTCAAAACATCGCTTTCCAAACCAGGCTAAAGATTTTCCAGGCTTCGAAGACGAAGTAATTTGGCACGGCAAACCTTTGGGCGGAGAAACTGGGAGAGTACTCAAACACCTCAATTCCCTTTTGAAGAGCAGCCGCCCTTTGAAGTTCACTATTCCTCCACCACCAGTCCAAATCTCACCTGTTGACATTTCAAATATAAAACTCGACTCTCCCCCATCGTACCAGAAGGGTGACATGTTTGCCACCAGATCAGCTTATGGTACTGCCCTAGTGAAGCTGGTGAAGTCGAATGCGAGAGTAATAGCACTTGATGGAGACATGAGAAACTCCACGTTCGCAGAGGAGCTGAAGAGGAGGTTCGATTCGAACTACATCGAAGGTTTCATCGCTGAACAAAATTTCGTTGGTGTAGCTATAGGAGCGACATGCAGGGATCGAACCGTGGCTTTTGTATCAACATTTGCTGCCTTCTTGACTAGAGCCTTCGACCAGGTTTGTAAGATTTTCGTCCTTGATGATGACTCATAAAGTAATTCCGTAGCCTTATTATGCAACTCGAATATGTTTTCACCTCACAGATACAGTGTAGCATCAGCAGCGTCGCAAGTATAATTGTTGTTTCCAGATCAGAATGGCTGCTGTTTCCCGATCCAATATAAACATCTGTGGTTCACATGGTGGTATTTCTGTTGGAGAAGATGGCGTTAGTCAAATGGGACTAGAGGACTTGGCAATGTTCAGATCCATTCCGGGTTGCACGATTTTCTACCCCGCTGATGTTGTAGCGGAAGAAAGGTCTGTAGAAATGGCTGCTAACACGAGAGGGGTGACTTATATCAGGAACACGCGGTGCCCAACTGCAGTTGTATATGGTAACGACCATGTTTTCTGTGTGAGTATTCAAACGGAAATGTTGAATTGGACGAGAACTTCTCACCTATGCCGGAACTGCGACATTCTCTACTCCATTTTTGATATTACTGATAGCATATGAAGGCAATGAACAAATCCATGAGTTTCAAGTGCAGCTCTTGATATTTAACTTCTATGAACATCGTAATTGAGTTGCTTCCCATTGATAAAAATACTATGATCATAATTTATAATTGAATAATGGATAAACGTATTTTGAAATACATAATTTTTGACTGAAACTCCCATTTTTTTTTTACATAAAGGTGGAGACGTAGAAAGCCAAAACCTTTATTTCCATTACATTCAAATGATCAAATTTTCAGATTGGAAAAGCTAACGTCCTTCTTCAGTCCAACATTGACCAACTCCTCATCATCGCTGGAGGAATAACCTTGCACGAGTCCTTGACCGCCGCAAAGCAACTCTCAGAAGACGGCATCCACGTCAGGGTGATGGATCTCTTCACCATAAAGCCCATTGATGGGGAAGCGATAATAAAAAACGCGAAAGAGGTGGGGGAACGGACTTTGGTTGTGGAGGATCACTATCCAGAAGGAGGTATCGGAGAAGCTGTTTTGTCTTCACTCGCCATGGAAACCAATATTCTTGTGAAGCACGTGGCTATTAGAGAAGTTCCCCATTGTGGTAAACCAGTTGATTTGATGAAGCACTATGGAATCGATGCTGAGGCTATTTCCGGTTATGTTAAAGAAATGTTGAATAAATGATACGTGTGAAGATGTCATTTTTATTTTCACCAAAATAATCACTTGTGATGCACGATCAACAACTAGGGCGATCACCAAAGGCCTCTTTTGATCTTCTACTTGAAGATGATCACTTGGTCGAAGTGTTAAAAAAAGGGTTTGGTGTTGAAGAAAAACTCCAGTAATATTCCAAAACAATCACTTTCCGGAATACCAGATATGCAACACTCTTTAGGAAATGGATTAGAACTGAACATCCGTTCTAGCTGTGATTGCCATTCTTTATGTTTTAATGTGAATAAAACTAACATAATTTCGTTCAAATTTGTTTCTGGAAACCTAAGCTTCCAGAATCATGTTATTGAAAATAAGACGTACACCAAATTCTTGGGAGTATAGACTGATAATATCCTGAAGTATAGTAGCAGAAAGAACATAATATTTTTCATTAGTTGTTACTAACAATCTACGGTATCTTCATTTTATAAACAGTGTGTCTAATTCAAATAAGAAAAAATTATTTTCTTGCCGAAACAATATAGATTAAACCCGGCAAAATAACAATATATATCTACCAAAACCAACTTCGTTATTAACCAAAAATTCCATAATATTTGAGAGTCGGAAGATATTCAATCATCTACCATTTGAAATGAAAAATATTACAGACTCAAAAACATTTCGAAAATGTGTTAAGGAACTTTCACTTACGATTTTAAATACCTGAACTTTTGAGGTTAAATCGACTGAATTATTTCATTTACGCATGTAAGTCAATTCTCAAATGCTTTGTAGAATCTTAAGAGTACGAGTTCTGTCATATACGTACTCTCTTCATAAATTCGAGCATTGAGTCTGATAATTGTTCTTTCGAAGAAATGTTGGAAATTTGTTGTTATACAGGTATAAAAATGGATTTGATTTTGGAAATTATTATATTATTCTCATATTTAAAAATTTTCTCAGATAAATGCCAAATTCAAAGTCAAACTTTCTTATTCTTGAGCAATACCAATCGATCAATCAGCCATGAATAAAACTATTCTGGTTGTTCATGGCATTGCTGAATAACATAATTTATCAGTAAAATTTGAAGGTCTTTTACTATTACCTTATGAACGATATCGGTATCACATCCGAGCCTTGAGGTTAACCATTATTATTGAGCAACTAATCACATAATCAAATAAAAAAGAAAATTCATTTCTTCATCATTTATTCCCACCTTTTGTGAATGATTTTAGAAATAACATTCCATTCATAAATATGAAGATTAAGATTTTTCACAGACTTATCTTCCATTCACAGTGGAAAAGTGAAATATATTTAGAATATCGAAAATATTGATGTTGATTGCGTTTTTCTGTTTTCTGCGAGAAAGTGGTCAACATGTAGTTATTTGACAGTCCTTATCTCCAGACGGTGAGATGATTGATTCATAACGAATTGAGTCATCCAAATATATTTTCAGTCTGTGGAAATGGTCAATAACAAATTTGTTATTTTAGAAAAGGTGGAAAATATATGATGTTAAGCTGCTAGTAAATGCGAACGGTTTCATAATTTTATGGTTCATGTAATTCACACAGATAAAGGAGCTATTTACTTTTTCATTTAACTGTTCTTCATACTTTAATCATACTCACCTGATAATTAACATTGGCGAGATTATAATGCAAATATCAACTCCTAAAAATATACTCCTTTCAATTTAAACTTTATTAGCCTTGTAAATAACAATTCAATATCAACAGCATCTGAGGACAAGTAGTTTAATTGAGTTACGTGAGATGTAAAATATGGTTCACATTAACTGAATAGTGCTTAATCGATATCACGGCCTCAAAAATGAATATAAATGATCCCAACAGTTGGGATCACCAATGCGGTGGTATACAAGAATCAGTTGGATTAAACAACTCTAGATTATTAATACAAAAAAAGTATACTATATCAGTATAGTATATCCAAAAAAAATACCGAACTTCAACATAGGAAAGTTACAGTCACAAGTATCAAATCACATCAAATCACTATGCCCCCTTTTATGAAATTCTGACTATAACACATGACTATATCAAAGTGACTTTCAAGTTATCTCAGAATTACTGTCTGCGCTAAAGAAAATGGTGAGGAAAACAAATTTTGACAAAAAACCGTTGAAGGCCATATAACCACCTACAAAGAAACCATCTATGAGATCCATGAAAGAGTTAATTCACGAGTATCAACGTTTATTCTTGATATTCTAGGATTGAGTCTACTGTCAATCTCATTGAAGGCTTCTTCTTAGAGAGAGCTTTCACCACCTCCACTTTCAGATAACAGACATATAATAATAATAATAATTCTTTATTGGTGTGATGACATTAAAAATGTTTACACAAGTCAGGAAAGGATAAAGACATAAAAATGGTAATATACGTATATATAGTAATACAAAGTACAAAAAAAACTTGTTGTGAATACTACAGTTCACAAATCTTTGTAAAATCACCATTTAAAAATTCGTTAAAATCGTAAAAGGCACCCCTGAGTAACAGTTGCTTAATTTGGACCTTAAATGTGTTCAAATGTGCATTCTTAATCGATTAGGGTAGAGCATTTAAAAATTTTGGAGCATAGTAGTTGATTCCATTGCGGCTTTTTGGAACTCTCTGATAATCTAGGTATATGTTTTTGGAACTTCTGGTGTGGTGATTATGTATGTCAGAGTGACTTGTGTATTTATGTAAGTTGGTACACTTGGCTCTTTTTCCAGCCATCCAACAACATCTTCCTCCATCGCCGAAATCCTCTCCGTCCTCTTCTTCAACACCATGAGGTACAAAGTCAGCGCTCCTCGCGATCCTTCCAGCGATCGCTTCGTCCTTTCTAAAGGCCACGCTGCTCCAGCTCTTTATGGGGCTTGGGTTGAAAACGGACACGTCCCTGCTGAAGAACTGCTGAAACTGAGACAGTTGGGCAGCGACCTGGAAGGTCATCCAACCCCGCGCTTGAGTTTTGTCGATGTTGGAACAGGATCTCTCGGACAAGGACTTGGTATTGCTAACGGAATGGCCTATGTCGCGAAATACATCGATAAAGCCGATTACAGGTCAGTATTATTACATTATTATTGAAAATTACAGAAAAGTTAAATATATTCTTGTTCGTATTGCCGGAACTTGTTGTGATGACTATTATGTCCTAGTTGAAAGACACTCGATTTTGTAAATTGAATTTTGTCGGTTTTCTCAAAGCAACAAACAGGTTTAACTTTGTTTTCCATTAGGACGGCTCTTATTTTTATTCATATAAGATTTTTTTATATCAATCAGAAGAAGAATGAATCTTGTAGAGCTTACTTCACCATTGATCAGAGAAACATTTATTCACGTAACTATTTATAGCATAATACAATTAGAGGACAACAATTCACAAAATCGAAGACATTTGGTATGCGATGTTGTTACAATAATGTTATTATATGCTGTATTGGTATTTTTCACAAGGGTTTACTGTCTCATTGGCGATGGGGAGAGTGCAGAAGGTTCCATCTGGGAGTCAGTCATTTTCTCCGGTCACTATAAACTGGACAACTTGGTGCTGATCTTGGACGCGAACCGTCTTGGACAAACACAAGCTACCATGCTGGGGCACCACCTTGACCTCTACAAAAAGCGGTTCGAAGCCTTCGATTTCAATGCTATGATTGTAGATGGCCACAATGTCGACGAATTGATCAAGGCCTTCAATGCAGCTAAAACAGTTCAAGGAAAACCCACTGTCATCATTGCTAAGACGTTCAAGGTAGATAAAAATTTATTTTGACTACTCAGTTATACATGTTGAATATAGGATGAATATAGGTGTTTGTTAAACTATTTTTAAGTCATATCAAGGTCATCAATCGAACAAATTATACATGTTCTGCCTGTTGTGGAAATTTTTGATACTGCTATTTTATAAGAGTTAGCTTCATTGGTATTAGAGTCATGATTATTGATAGTCTTTCAAGGACTCAATACAATACAGATATCCTTGAAACATACTCACAAAAATTATTTTCGAGAACTGCTTGTGTCTATGAAGCTGCAGAGTTCAAGATTTGTCCAAATCTTGTCCAAATCTCTATAGAGATCATCAATAATCTATTGTGGCAGTATTGGTAAAAAATTCGTAACTCCCTGGAGTTGAGCTGATGAAAGTTGAGCTGAATATAAATTTGGTTATGTCAAGAGATTTGTTTTGTTTAATTTTGCAATGTTTCCCTAGACCATTCTATCTCTTCAATACAAGCATTGTTATAATAATGGTTAATTTTTAACAAGTTCTGTAGATATGTTAGTGAACCAAGATCCTTCACCAAATAATCAAAGTGCACTTGTCTCATTTCAGGGAAGAGACTTTCCAGGGATTGAGGATCAAGAAGGCTGGCATGGCAAGCCTTTGGGCGCCAACACCGACAAGGTTCTGAAACATCTGAAGTCTCTTCTGAAAAACCAGGGTCAGCTGAAGTTCACCATTCCTTCACCCACAGCCCAAGTACCAAATATTGATATCACCAACATCAGACTGACCTCTCCTCCATCGTACAAGAAAGGTGATATGTTGGCAACCAGATCTGCGTATGGCACGGCTCTAGTCAAGCTGGCCAAGTGCAATCCTAGGGTTATTGCTCTAGACGGTGACATGAGGAACTCGACTTTTTCTGAACAGTTGAAGAATTATAATGCCGGGAACTTCATCGAGTGCTTTATCGCAGAGCAGAATCTTGTTGAGGTGGCGATTGGAGCTGCTTGCAGAGATAGAGCTGTCACGTTTGCGTCCACTTTTGCTGCGTTCTTCACCAGAGCCTTCGATCAGGTATGGACTTCAAGCATTACCATGTTTTCGTGGACCATTGAACTTATAATAATCTTATAGACTTTCAAAATCAATTTATTGACGGCAGATAAAAGTTTATTCAACCCCATATATTGTCTCTCACTCACATTACGACTTTTCTCAATCCTGTTTTTAGATCCGCATGGCCGCGGTATCCCAATCGAACATAAACATCTGTGGATCTCACTGCGGGGTTTCTATTGGTGAAGATGGTGCCAGCCAGATGGCGCTGGAAGATATAGCGATGTTCAGAACCATTCCAGGAAGTACAGTGTTCTACCCTAGCGATGTGGTTGCTACCGAAAGGGCTGTTGAGCTGGCTGCTAATACCAAGGGAATCACTTTCATCCGAACAGCAAGAGCTCCAACTGCAGTTGTTTATCCCAATGATCAAGTTTTCCAGGTGCGTGCAAATACTTTGATGTATGCAATCTGAACTTAAGTTTTTCTGTGATACATGAATTGAAGTTTCAGAGTGAGGTTCTGCTCAACAGTGAATACCTCATGGTTCAGCTTCAATTTTTAAAGATTCAGGAAAAACTAAAGTGAGAAATTCATCAGTAACTTGGTTCAATGTATTCATAAGCGTTTTCTTATATCATTTCTGGTGGTATCGTCTTTAGCAATTTTGAATTAAATATTTTTGAATGGGTAGAGCTAGTATACAACGTGATAAAACTCAAGATAGCCTTGCTATTACGCTATTACTAAATTCCTCATTATTCAAGATAAGAGTACGGTTAATATAGAGACCTCAAAGTGTTTCTCGATGATTAACATGGTGCTAATAGAAAAACAATTGAGCATAGTGTTTCCGATCCATTTCAAAAAATGTATTTTTCAAAATGAGGCACTCTATATATTTCTACTTTGAACGGCTGCCAATTCTTTTATAAATCTTGAAAGTCATTTTGAATTCTATCCTAAAACCAACAATAACGGAGTTGTGCGACTTTTTCCCTTTCCTTCAATATTGCTATGAAATTTAAAATTGAAACAAAACAATAGGTACATATGGGTTGCAATACTTATTGTCTTTACATTGTGGAAAATTGAATCATTCGTTCGAATACATTTCTTTGTTGTTCGATACATTGCTGGACAGTTTCTATTTCTTGTGGATTTCAAACGATACAACAACCATCGATGCTACGTATGGTATTTGTTATCGCTATCTGGAGATAATCGATACCATGGTAGCGATTTTCATACGCTTCGTTTGAAAAAACAGGAATGAAAATCCATGGGTGTAATGTCAGGAGAATGAGGAGGCCAACGAACTGGTCCTCTAGTAGCGATGAAACGGTTATTGAAGAGGTAAATTGAAACATTGTTGACGTTTTGGGTATTTTGCCACACTCTTTTGTTGACCATTCACTTTTTGGAGATCAGTTGAGTTGAGATTATCAAAAAAATCTTTCAATATGGTTCTAAGGAACTCGAGATAACGCTCACATGTAAAAAAATCATCATAAAAAACAAGTTCAACGACCCAATAAGACCGCATCATACATTTACCTGTGGATTACAAGATATATATTTTGCAAAAGGTTTTCATTACTGCAGTAATGATGCTTCTTGCTGTTATGCATGCCCCGTTTGCTGAAATTCGATTTGTCGCTGACTAGGGTTTGATCACACTGTACAAAATAAAGGATACTATTCCAAATAGTTCTCAGGAGAATATGCAAAATATTTTCTATGGAGTTCGAAAGATTTTCTGATTGATTCGGACGTTACTTGATGAAGATCCATAGTAATTTCAAAAACTACACCTCCACGAGTTAATTTCTCAGCGAAACATTTTGTGATATATTTTTCAAATGAAGTTTATGGAGATCAAATCGTGGAGATGTAGTTTTTGAAATTTCGAAGAATTTTTTGATTTTTTGAAAATTTTCTCGAGTGAATTTGATTTTTCGAAATTGGAATCGATTGAAATTATAATAATAATAAAGCATATTGATAAATCAACGAAATCAATAATCAAAAAATCAAACCAAACTGGCTTTTTGAAAACTAAAATGGCAATTCCTTTATGGAATGAATCATTTGAGAGCTCAAAACTCAATTTATAATGAAACTCAATTTTGTGTAGTTATGTTCTAGTAAAAAGTTTTGTACAAAACTGTTTTACTGTGATTAAAATCACTGTTGAAGAAGATATTGTGTTAGCGAAACATATCGTGATATGATTCTTCAAATAAAGTTTGTGAAGATCAAATCGTGAGGTGTAGCTTATGAAATTACTATGGATCTTCATCAAGTAACGGCCGAATCAATCAGAAAATCTTTTGGCTAGATAAGATACACATATTTTCCGAAAAATTATGAAGTTTTTCAATCGAGGCAGCTAGTGTTTTACAAAATTCAAATTTTTGATGACTCAATGAGAAAAAAACTATGGGGATAATATCTGGAGATCCTAGAGTCCACTCTACCACATTTTCATCCAATTCAGAAATTGGCATGGTTGAACACCATTTCGTTGATGATGAAGCTGATTTTCATTGGAAACTCGGTAATTATCGATTTCATTTTCAACTGATCCATATTTGAAGGCTCTATATTAGTTGCCAATATAATGGAAATGTCTACCATGAGAAAATATATGTTAAACTGATTCAGATTTGTAAGCTACATCCAACATCATTTCAAAAATTCAATGCATTCATTTTAAAAAACCTTCTGTTTCGATTTGGTGACTCAATCTCTGATCCCCTCACATGTCATATTGTCTGCTATGCACGAAGAACCACTTTATTGTTCATTTCCAGATTGGAAAAGCCAACATATTGTTCAGTACCAACAAGGACCAAATTCTAATCATCGCTGGAGGCATAACTTTACACGAGAGTATGATCGCTGCCAAGCAACTTTCCCAAGAAGGAATCGGCATCAGGGTCATGGACCTCTTCACCATCAAACCCATCGATAGAGCTGCCATCATCAAGAATGCTAACGAAGTTGGTGGAAAGATCCTGGTGGTGGAAGACCATTACCCAGAGGGAGGTATTGGAGAAGCTGTTCTCTCCGCAGTTGCCGAGGAAACCAATATATACGTTAAACATATCGCTATACCAAGGGTTCCGCGGTCTGGAAAACCTGCTGATCTGCTGAATTATTACAAAATCGACGCGAAGAGTGTCGTGGAGCACGTTAAAGGCGTTTTGAGGAAATGACTCAATTGGATATGAGTTTTTTTTCCAGTGACCACTATCCTTTACCAAATACTGTTTTTTCACGGTATTAAAGAACTTTTTTGGATTTATTTGTTTTTTTTGCACGAAGAAAACCTAGTTTACTTTATAGAGATAGTAACAAAAAGTGAACTTTGGAATAATTTCGCAACAGAGAGCTGCCAAGTCCTTACGATGGGTTTTGCAATATTGCATATATAATTTTGAGCGTTGTACAGAGTATAATTACTCACACGTTGGAAAATGAAATAATTGTAACATAAGAAACGAAAACATATGGAAACGGCTTCACGGCAATGACTGTGTATGGAAAAGGAGCTGTAGAGTACTGAATATTCATTTTTGGAAACTGAAATTAAACTGAAAAAAAATTAGCTGTCGCTAAGTTTTTTGTGGTTCTTATGAATAGATTCAAAACTTCTCATTAAATGTAAACAACATTTTCTCAAGCAAAAAAATCTGAAACTTTCTCTACCAACAAAATGGTTGAGGCTTTGAGGTTTTCAGTGACACTATTTTCAGTGTTTGAAAGCCGTCGATTATTGGAATTTCTTTCAGACGTTTCGCTGGCGTGAGTGGCTAACTTCTTCAGAGGTTTGCACATCCTGAGTTATCTTCGATGACTGGCTATTACGATTGAGTGAAGTGTATTTATGTTGCCTCAGATAGTTTGGTGTGCTAATACTTGTCCATATTTCGTTGGTGGAATTAGGGACTTGACTCTGGAGCCGACAGATATTTTGGTCAGCTCCACACAGTCATCTCCCACGGAAAATGGAAAGCGGGGATAAGTGAAAGTACTCGAACGACCTATAAATAGTCATCTCTTGGAGGAATCAGTCCAGTAATCACCCGAAGACGATTGTAGATACTAACAATCGAAACGTCGTGAACTAACGTGACTTGGAATCTCTCCACTTTTCATTTTTATTTTCTTTTTTCATTTCTCTATTTTTATTTATTCAATTGTTCTATCTTTACTTGTGTTTTATTTCACTTTTATTTCATTTCAGGTGTATTTTGGTTAACATAATTGTTATTTTCAGCTATTCATTTTCAATTTTTTCTTTTAGTTGTTTCAGGGATTTCAAATCATTTTATATAGTAGAAATGGAAGTCCGAACTAGTGAAATTCATCATGAAACATTGTCAATCACCTTCAAACACCTACTTGAATAATACATTTCATAAAGACTGACAAAATTATATTTCAAAATCAGCTGACAGCGAGTAGGCACTAATTTTTTTCTTATTTGTTATTGTCGGAACATCAAAAACTAATTAATTTTTTTAATGCTGGGAAATTTGTGATGAAACATTCATTATTGATATTTATAATTCAAGATATCCAGTATTGAATTGCAATTATCAGCTGAGATTCTTGAGTTTACTATTCTGTTAAGGGCATATCAAAAATTTTTCATGTATATTTTAATTGCATATTTTTATAAATATTTCAGTGGGGTCAAAAAATTTCATTATTGATGTTTCACATCTGCCAGGCGTTCCATGACGGCTTACAATAATTTTTTTTGTATCAGAAACGATGTAACATTTTTTTATATCAGATCAATAACTTCCAGAACTCACCAGTGTTGTAACTCCTAAACCGCACTCCCTCTGGCCTCCAACCCCGGAAATCATTGGCATTTTTATCATAATGTACATGCAATTTCCATATCCTCAAAAGTTTGCTTGCGAATGAGATAAAATTCTGCTTACGACACTTTCCGAAGATATTTCCGAGACAAAGCAACCCGGGTCGTATAATTTAAATATAATGATCATTTGTTCGCCACTTAAATTTAAATAAAACAAACATTTTTCTTCGGCAGCAAAGCGCCCGGCTCCCGAAATCTTGTTACTTCAACGACATAAGAATAAATCGGTTGCCAATAGGGCCACACATTTGAATAGCAATTTGGCATGGGGTGAAATTCTAATCAGCCTTTACGACAGCGTTTTTATAATAACGGGCTGTCTCTATGCTGTTCGATGCTTGCTCTCTAACGGAATTGCCCCCGGATATTTACGTTTTGACACAATTGGGGTCAATATTCCTTCGGTTCCGACATTGCTAACGACTTGTAAAATTTTTAAACAAAACCAGCTGCCAATACTAGAAGTTTCAGGTACAGGTATACTGAGTGAAGTTGTAACATTGTATAACAATACTTGTCCCGATGAAGTGCCCGTCATCATATCTCATCAAAAAGTGCGCAAATGAACTTGCACCAGAGTTTTGCAGACTTCTCAACCTGTCTTACAATAAAAGGGTTTTTCCTTCTTGTTGGAAGATTGCTTGCATTCAGCCTATTCGTAAAAATGGTAAGAAAAACCTTCCAAATAACTATAGACCATATTCTTGAATATTTAGAAGGCGTCAACATCTTGAGCGATAATCAAATTAGCTTTCGGAAACAAAGATCCATAGGCGACCTTCTATCGTATGTCACCCATATTTGGAATAACGCAATCGATAAATATGGAGAGTTAAGAGCTGTTGCGCTTGATATTTCTAAACCTTTGACAGTGTGTGACATGAGGATTTGCTGGCCAAACTTCGATACCATGATTTCTTGGATCATTTTTGTGTATGGCTCTTCAGCTTTTACCATCAACGCTGGTGTTCCCCAGGGATCCATATTGTCTCCAACCCTCTTTTTATTGTATATAAACGACTTATTTTAAGAAAAGAATCCAATATATTGCTTTGCTGACGACATCACACTTGTCTCGTCATTCCATTTGGATTCTAGGACATCGACCACGGAGGCACATCTTCACCGGCAGCGGGTGGTTGCATATCTTAATGAGGATCTAGAAGTGATTTCGAATTAGGCTGAAAGTAACCAGGTTCAAGTCAGGCATCAGTTTTCTCCAAGACAATGAGTGTCTCCGAATGGGATATAATAATGTCAGGTCAGACAATTCCGCTTTCTGCTTCGATAAGTTTGTTGGGGGTTAAAATGGACACCAACATGTCTTGGTACAATCATGTCGCTGGAATTGCAAATGCTGCTTCTCAAAACTTGGAATACTGTTCCGAACCAGAAAACTGTACACACCTGAGCAACTTTTGAGCTTTACTAAGCTCAGATCAGACCTTCTTTAGAGTATTGTTCTCATGTATGGAGCTCTGCTCTTAAACATACCCTGAATTTGCTGGATTCTATCCAGAAAATAACCATCCGCCTGATTGGAGACGCGAACATCACGTGCAAACTTAATAGCCTGGAACATAAAAAAAAGGTTGGAGATTGTTCTCTTCTCTATAGAAATTTTAACGGAAGGTGGAAAAAAAGCTGAACTCGCAAACGTTGTTTTGCCACATAAATTATTTTCACCACAACAATAACACTAACCTAAAATAATAATCCCTCAATGTGTGTTCAATATTCTTCGTTGATGCATGTCAGTCCATGTAACACAAACAATCTGGATGGTTTTCCCACTCGAGAGCATTCCACATATAATTGTCCGAGTGAAAAACTTAATGTGCTCAAATCCAAGCCACAAGCGGAAATTGTTGGGCCTTGGAACTCATCAATAGTCATTGCAAACACCAATCTAATTGAAAATTGCACTTATTCAAAATGAACTGGTGCATCTGTAGGCATAATTGGGAATCGTGATGTTACTATATTTCCATTTCGGTATTATTTCGGTATTTGCTATTCAAAATACTGGCTTCGACAACGTTTTTTATTAATTCTTTGATGACAAATGACAGAAACATTTTTACAAGAGATAATGAAAAAAAAAATTGGTATGGAACACCCTCATCACTCAAGGGTATGGAAAAGTGACTGAAATCTATTCTCAGATCTACCGAATTCACATATAAAATTTCATGAAAATCGGTTGAGCCCTTTCTATAAGTATTGCAACCCTGTGACTCGAATATTGTATATATTAGATTATATTGTGACAATATATCTGTTATAGAAAAGTTCAGTACGAAAATAAGTACAAAATACAAAATCTGGTTTGAAAAAAATCTGGTTTTTCCGTTAACCAGCTGTCGCTCCACTACAAACGACAACTCTCAGAAGTTGAGAAACTTGTGCAAGCTAAGGACTAACGAGGTCTTACCTTTTCACATTGCGATGTGATTTCTAACATTTCTAAGTAACAAACTCAGTTTGTTACACCTCAATAAACTTTCAACATTTTTTGGAGTTCACAATATTATCACAGCTTTGATTGACTTCAGCAAGTTGATATTCATTTTGACCTTCAGATTATTTTAATTTTTCTAGTGTTTCCAAGTAAAAAAATTCTTTCAAAGCCACTCTTCTATTAATTTTTGAACATCAATTTTGGACCGAACTTTGCTGCCACACACTAAATGCCCAGAATTTCCAAAAAATTTCATGGCATGAGTCAACCCATATGCTTACATCCTCATCAACTTCTCTAATGATAATTTGACTATTCATCAATGTATGCCACTGTTAATATTTCAAGTATTTTAAAGCACTCAGTTCCTTTTTTTACACAAAATTTGTTGCAAATTCTTTGATCCATCTATTTCGGCAGCAGAAAATAGTCAAACACACGAAACACTTCCAACTTTTATGCCTCTCACAAACAAAGTGAACATGCTAAACATCTGAAACTGTTCGAGACTAGTGTTTCGACATAAAAAATTTTTAAAAAATCGCTAATCGAATACAAGTAGCCTGCGAAAGTAGCCATTCATTTCATTTTTTTAACAGACCATGTAAGCTGTTGTTTGAAACGGGTATCAAATATCATTTTAGTTTGACCTATATAGATTCATGCAACCAAGAACGAAAAATCGTAACATGTAACTCACTACGTATTAATACTCATTAGGAGATGAACGTATTTGATGTAATGAATTCGCACAACTCCTATTTTTGCTAATAACATTCTATTTTTGTTCTGGAAATGACTATACAGAAATTGCCATCAAATTCCTCATCGACTATGGTGTCATATTTGATTAATGAGTTTGATGATTCCCCCAATAAAAAACAAACGTGTAATTACTTAGTGCAGATATCGTATAGACGATATCGTTAATATGCAATAAATTTCATTTCTGTCAGCCATTGAGAAATATGAGGTTTCGTTAGATACGTATTCGACGTGACTGATGCTATTGTAATGGAGAGAAATTGTGTTTAATGTTGTTGATGTTTTTTCAGTAAGAGGATTCGATGAATGTAATATTCTCCAATATATTAGGTGGGCTACAAAATTGGTAGGCTAACACACAGATGGCGCCACAAGTATCTAATCCATATGATTTTCAGCTAAGTCCAACCTTCAGAAGACACGTTTACAAATTTCTCAGCTGTCGGACTATTAGTTTGTGAGACAGACCATTTTGAGTGAAGCATATTCTGGTAATTTGAAGAAAACAGATAGGGAGGAATTTCGTGTGTTGGTAAAGCTTTGCTTTTTGGCGAAAAAATACTGTTCAATCCAATGCTTGGCTTGATAAACATTATTCGAACTTTGTATCTGGAAAAGCAACCGTTGAGAAGTGGTTTGCTGAGTTTAAACGACGTGAATGACCACCGAGAATGATGGACGCTCTAAAGAGGCTGTTGTAGTTGAAAACATCACAAAAGTCCACAGAATAATTTTGGGTGACAGCAAAGTGAAGTTGATTGAGGTAGCTGAGGTTCTAAAGATATCAAAGGCACGTGTTGGGCATGTCGCGCATCAATATTTGAGTTTTTGAAAACTGTTCAAATTGGTGTCGCGCGAGCTCATAATCGACCAAAAACAACAACGAATTGATGATTCTGAGCAGTGTTGAAGCTGTTTTACCATGAAAAATCAAAATTCATGCGTCGATATGAGATAATGGATGAAACATGTCCCCATCATTTCACAACAGAATTAAAACGATCATCATCAGAGTGGAATGCACGTGGTGAATCAACTCTAAAAGGTGCAAAGACGCAACAGCCTGTTGGCAAGGCTGTTTTGGGATGCTGATCATTTTACATCCATCGAATAATTTGAAAAGGGAAAACCATGTCACATAGCGTTATTGGAGAGTTTGGAGGACGAAATTGCGGAAAAATGGGCCATTTGGAGAAAAATTAGGTGTAGTTTCATCAAAACAACACACCGTGCCATGAATCAATGAAAAAGATGGCGAAATTGCAAGAATTGGGCGTAGAATTGCTTTCGTATCCACCATATTCTACAGATCTGGCCCCCAGCGACTTATTTCTGTTCTCAAACCCCAAAACGATGCTTTTTGGAAATAAATTCAGCGCCGATGAAGAGGTGATGGTCGAACTGAGTCCTGTTTTGATGATTTAATCGTTATGTCGACCTCGAAGACAACTATATTGAATAATGAATTGAAATTGAAAAAAAAATCTTGGCAAGCCTGCGAAATTTCCAGCCCAACTAATGTTATAAAACAACAAAGTCATATCAGTTACATAAATTATGACTTCGATTTTCACGGTTTTAGGAAGTGAGTTGCAAATATACGTTGGTCAAACTTAGTGAATAATAATAACTCGTTTGAAGGAACACTTTGTTGATATTCAGTTTCGTAGACTGGATGAGTCTAGTGCCGTTCAACGAGCTTAGAGGAAGGCCACAGAATACATGAGAAATGCACGCAATTGTTGAGACTAGTACATGACAAAAGCTTCTTAGACGCCTTCGAAAGTTCAGGAATTGAAAAGAGTGGAGTTGAGCAGAGACAAAATTCTAATTCCAAATAGATTGGTGCTAATTATCTTGCGTTATGGTTACAATCAGAAAACAAGGCTATATTAGACCATGATCAATAAAGACTAAAGATACATTAACAAACTATTGAAAAAAATCTATTAAAATCTGTATTTGCGTTAAGCAGCTGTCGCTTCCTCAAGACCGACAACTCTCGAAACTTGTGCGATCTAAGAAATAACGAGGAGTAAATCATACTAATTCAAGGACCAAATGTGATGCTTCATCCAGATGTGTTCAAAAGGCCCAACCTTAGTAGTGAGAAATAGGTTTCGGAATGCAGGAGAAAGGATAATGTTCTAGCGGAGGAGCAAACATTTTCGCAAAAGTATGTCAAAGAAGAAGATTTCAAAAAGGCCATTCGAGACATTTACTGCTGCTTGGAGATACACAAAGATGCTGAGCACGTTATGCAATAAAGGTGTCTTTTCTCACTCCAGGAAACATGTTGGAGTTTAGTTTATGTCTAGTTTTTCGGGAAAACTGTCAGGCAAGAATGTTTTCCAGTCTCGTTCGACGCTCACGAATCTCTTATTTGTTGATGTGCGGCACGTGGTCGAAAAATTAGCATGCAAACGAATTCAGCGTCGATAAAAACATAATCTAAATTTGGTGTATTTAAATGAAGGCGTCAGAAGATGTTTCGGTAGCAATTTATGTCTCACTTTTGATCACTTTTCCAATGCTGGACACATTTTAAACCCGCTCCCGACTCAGTTATGATAATCGCGTTTCTATTCGACACAACTCAATTTTAATTACATTTTCTTTAATTAATATGCTAATACTTCTGCATAGTAATCATTGAGAGCGATCTAGCGCGAGCTGATGTCGCTTTGATGTGCACGTCTCTCCATCATACTCACGTTTGCGTGAAACATACAGTCTTGGAACGTACCAATTCAAATCTTGAAATATATCGGGTGTCACAAACATTGAAATGTCATCTACATTTTTTCTACTATTTCTGCTTTCAGTGAAAGTTGACACTTCTTGTAACAATCTGTTTGATGCATGCTTTACCAGCCAAATTTGCTCTAACCATCACTGCCACAGAAGTTCAAATTCTACCTACCAGTACTTCTTTTGAATCTATGTGATATTCCTTACTCAGATGAGATTTAATTTAGAACTGAAAATGACTAAGGTTCTTTTTCTGTGACCATCGCAGACATATCCAATGTTTTTTTCACCAATAAACTATTTTAGGTTGTAGTCTAGGTCGTAAGATCTTTTTTTGGAAGGGCACCAAAAATGATGATCCAGAGCTTATCCAGAGCTTTTTGAAAAATTTCGAAAAAATTTCAAAAGTTATAAACAATTTAGTAAAAAAGGGGGGTTTGGTTTCCAGCAAATATCTCGGAAGATATTAAAGATATCCAAAATTTTGAAAAATATCTTTGAAGAGGAGAAAATTTACTAAAAAAAAGTTCCGACTCCCGAAATGGAATCTCCATTATTTATAATTTTAATTTAACGCTGAAAATAGCCATCCGCGCTATTTTTAGGTTGCGCGCACTGCCTCTAAGCGAGTACGTAATAATTTTTTTAAGATTCTTGAAGTGAATAGAGAAATTTGAAAAAATTCTGATATAATCTAAATACCATATAGAACTGATTTCCGTTGGAATTTTTCATTAAAGTTTATAATCGTTTATAATTGTTTATAATTGTTTATAATTGGTTTTTTATTTTTTTTTCTTTTATAAAATCATAATTCACACAGTTCTCTATAAAATAACAAAAAAAAAATTTCATCAACAATTCCATTGTTTATTAACTTAACAATTTGTTGTTAACAAATTCTCAACTTAGCTTTATTTTTTTCTTGAAAGTTATAGAAATTTCAAAAATAACCACGAGCATAAAAAAACCGAAAAACATTTTTTTCCACTATTTATTCAATTTTGAAACTACACAACATCTAATAGACCAGTTCGTTCGGGCCGATCTCAAGTTACCTACACTGTGAGCTAATGGACTGACACCTATCATAAAAAACTACTCTCCTGGCGGATACCACGATGGGCTTTGGATTATATCCTGCATATGATGTTAGCGATAAAACTGCCGCAATCGATTTTCAATTATTGGAACACACTTGCAGACCGGTTTCTGGCTATTTGGCCACTCATTAGTACAAGGTAGTGTCTATCATCAACATGAAGTTGATGATTTCCGATAAGTTTTCTTTCTCATATGAAGAATTTTGGATATGCGGTTGGCTACCTCGTTCACAGGCAAATGGGGAGATGACAAACATTGCCCCATCTGCTATTTCGAGGCATGATACTCTGAAGAAATTCAATTTTCAATTATCATGGACTTCATGTTGATGAAAATCGATTCCAGCAGTTGCATCGCCAACAGCATACGCAGGAATAACTTCAGTGAAGAATCCTGCACTGACACCTGTCGGATATAATCCAACGCCCTTCATGGTACTAGCCAGGGGAGTAGTTGTTTTCTGATAGGTGTCAGTCCATTAACCTACTGTGTAGGTGATTTGAGATGAATAAACCCTACTTTTGATATCTCATTGAGTTTTATCCTGCATTTCAAAGTTACCAAAATATTTTTCTTCAACACTAAAAACTTTCTTCTAAGTCAATACTTTTTCCAGAATACTATGGTTTGTTATAATAGCCGTAGCCCTTGGACTGTCCATTCATTATATCTTGGAACTATATTACAAATACGAGGAGAATCCATTCATCGTCAACCTGGCAACTAGAGAATCTCCAATATACACTATACCATTCCCAGCAGTGACCATTTGTCCAGTGGTCAAAACTGAGAAGGAAACCTTCAACTATACCAGGGTTGTGCATAAGATTTGGAACAATGAATCATTGACAAGGGAAGAGTGAGTATTTACACTGTGCTTACAGTTAGAATTAACGTTACAAAAAGTTTCTCGATGCGATGCTGCTCGACTGTTGAAAGATTCCGTGATAAAAAGGAAGAAGTTTTCTCCAAATAATCCCTCATTTACACTCTCGATGGGTATGATGTATTTCGAGAGATTCGATAATTCCACTTCTCACATTATGGATCAGTACTACCATATGCATTCAATGTATTAATGACAAATATTATTGTACAAAGTAACAATGTGTTGAAACACAACTTTCGAGAGTTAAATATGACACCATCACACACAAGGGTCAACTTCACATGAATAATTATCCTTCATGAAAACCTCTGGGACTATAGTTGTGCAGTTGGTTATATTTTTCCAACCATACCGGATGTATCAACGATAGGTGGGTGAACGATAGCTGCTTCCATATTCTCAGGTTTTTCAAATGAAACACCCTGTACAAAGTGCCATTCCAGAATAGTCCATACTATGAGCTGTCAGGAAATGTAAAGATCAACTACTTTATTTCTAAGTCAAATGAGAAAAGTGTGAAAAAATCATCAAATAGAAGCAATAAAGTTATTTAAATTCAGTGCTAGACATAACAAGTAATGAAATGGAAAGAAAACGCGTACATTTACAAAAGATGTTTTAACAATCTTCTATTTTGGCTATGTATGAATTGAAGCTGATCTTGTGATAAACTAAGAAACTTCTTCAATCATATTCTTCACGTATTCTGGTATCGATGGTTCCTCTTGACATAAGTCTCCTTTAACATATCTCTATAGATGAAAATTTAGGGGCTTGAGGTCTGCGGATCGTGCTGACCAGTAAATGGGTCCCTACGCCACCCTTTCGAAAATCTCCTTACCCGATTATGGGTGGGGGAGGCGCGCCATCATGTTGGTAATATAACCTATACCTTGTATTAATTCGTACAGCCTCCAACAAATTTGATGAATCATTTCGAAAGAAATTTTTTGAAATTCCTCCATTCAGAGACCCATCAATAAAATATGGTCCTATGACCCGATCCCCAATTATGCCCCTGCAAACATTTATCGACCATCTGCTTTGGGACTCGACTGCTATTTCGAAATGTATGTTGAAATATTCATTTCCTATATAGTTTTCATTTTTGACTTCCGTTAGAGTTTTCAAGTATGGGATGTTTCTTCCCCGTTTGGGGCTTTGTTCACAAGATGGAGTTGTAACTAGTCAACGATCTTTCTCTCAGACTAAGGTTTCATATATTGGTAGCAGAGCCGTGTTGAAACTAATCTAAGTCCCAGACACTTTGCTGTCTGGGTAGGATCATCTAGCTAACAGAAAACAATTCGTCGAATATGAATCTTTCAAATCAGTGTAGTTACTGGAGTACCACAAGGTTCTAATCTTGGACCTCTTCTATTTTTAATTTTTATTAATGATTCAGCAAATTTATTTGGAAATATTCATTTATCTATACGTATGTATCTCTCCTCTTTAGTTTTCACTTTTGATTTATGATAACTTTCGTCAAACTTTGATAAGAAAAATGATGACAAATCTTTTGACGAATCAATTTACCAGTGTTTGAGAACATATGACGATTATTGGTGCTCTGGGGCCATATTTAAAATGGGAAATAAAAAAATGTGATTTCGTTATATCTTTTGTATCGGAAAATTATTTCATTGTAATATATTCATCAAGTCTATCATCAGTATCTCGCTCCCAAAAAGGTCAACACTTGAAACTCCACTACCGACGATCCAGTAATATTTTTCCACTGATCATTTGATTTATTTCAGATCGATGAACGCCCAATACTTATCTTTATTGTGCGATAGCATAGATGGCTCTTACAAAGACCAACTTCCCCAAAACGAAACATTTACAGAGGAGTTCTTTGGTCAGCTAGATTACGTAAGTATTGAAGAATGTTGACTTTCACATGTTGAAGCCATTTTTTTGTCTGTGGTCTGCAGGTTTTTATGTCAGACGTTTCGTCTACTACTGCGGTATGCATTATCAAAGGTGATGACGTAACGATCGAAATGCTCGAGGTCTCAACACAAAAACTACAGTGCTGGATTTTCCACTTAATCATAGGTCTGCGTTGCTTCGTTTTTTTTTTCAGTCACCTGACCTTGCTTGGGTTCAATCAGAAAAAGGTAAACAGATTTTAATGATGCTAAATTTCTATCTGTGTACGAGGGTGGTCTGAAAAGTTTCTGATCTCAACATGAAGATAGTGGCACTTGTAAATAAAAGCTAGTGAATTTCGTTGTTCATCTGTTAACAGTTACTCATCAAAATTTCAGCCATTGTAGACGCGCAGTATGGTATGCATAGTATGGCCGTGTGATGGTTTTTTCTTTTTAAGACAATCCATTAAAATAACTCCACGACTGGGCCAAAAAAATGCCGCAATCACTTTCCAAGCTGGAAAAACTGTTTTAGCTTTTCCTTGAAGTCGGTTCTTTGCAGTCCACTGATTGTACTGTATTTTTATTTCGGGCATATAACAGTGTATCAAAGTTTCATCTACAGTAATTGATCGGTGTCAAAACTTGGATTTATTGTAAACTTTGGCGATGTTTTCATTGCTAGTTGGAGTTTTTGGAGGTCCGGAACGTTAATCATCTCCCAACCTCTTATGGTCACGAAAGAGCCCTAAAGGATTTAAAAATATTTTAACTGATGTGGCGCTAACCGCTCGGGAAAAACGTCCGACCATAAAATGTTTTCATCATCACTGTTTCTCCATACCCTGAAATTTCCGGTGGTTAAAATTATATTCAGTGTCAGCATTGCACCCGTGCTGAGCCAAGTTGAGTCGCTAGTATCTTATATAATGGCCATGGGCTCTACAGTAGACAATCAGACAAGCATAATAGGCGGCGAACGATAATGAGATAGATGGAAGTCAAGTTTTCTGGATGAGTTTCGAATGACTGAAATTGAAAGTCAACTGTCAAGTCAAGTCAAGTCAAAATATGCTGTATTGTCTGAAGATTCATATCTTATTGACTGGATATAATCATGTAAATCTGATTCTTCTTGATTTATTTTTCTTTCTTTTTGACCTGGAACGAAAACATTGTTTCTGCATATCTGTCGCAAAAAGCTAGAAATTGTAGTATACTGAACAATTCACCATATATTTTTTGAAAGCCTTTGAATTTGAACTGGTAGACGAGGTGTAAAATTTATTTAAACAAACAGCATCATCTCTTTTGTATCTATATCTGTAGAGCATTTAGACCACATGTTACCCATTGTACATCCTCCCGAGGAGTGGTCCTCCTAGGACATCGTCCATCTTGTCCTTTCCAGGAAGGTGGACAGGTTACTAGAAGACATCTCCTCTATATTGGCAGGTGTAGGCCAAGATTCGCCGAACACACACTCTTTTTGGCAACCTTGAGGTGTCTCACGGTGGCCTCCGCGAAGGTTATGGAAGGTGCAGCGATATTACTGTCGTTGCGCAGCTTCTTCAACTGCAGGAGCAGGGGCAGCCGGTTCTTTGCCTTTATTCAAGGCGGAGCTCTTGGCGCCCACCGCAGGAAGTCATCTGCTATGTCCAGCCTCATTTCAAGCGGTAGCACAAGAAAGGATAATAACTGTTTCCTAGTTGGTAAAGAACCCCGATTCAAGGATGTTATATATGAACAATCATTCTGGCCAGGTGGTGTAACATTTGAACGGTTTGATTTTAAAAAAGGTCAACATTTCCTAGATGATCCTTGTCAAAAAAAATGTTGGTGTAGTGAACAGCTCCTTCAGTAGTGTACAAACGGTTTTCTCCAATCTTTAGTGAATACAAGCACTTGTGTAAATAACTCGACTTTACATATTAAATGTCAGTCAGCAAAAGTTGTATCTGATGGTCTGGGTTTATGTGAACCTGCTATATTTTCAATCATACATGCAAACGTGCAAGGTATGTCAAATAAAATTTTGGTATCAAAGCATCTCTTACTGTTATACCCCAAAATGAAAATACTCTGTTTTACTGAACATTGGTTACGGGAAGATAAATTGGAATCGGTGAGTATTGAAAACTTTATTTGTATCAGCTATTATTTAAGAAATGATACCAGGAGAGGTGGTTCCATTGTATTTGTCTATAAGAGCCTACTCAATAAAAATATTAAAAATCTTGAAAATGTTGTTCAGATGTCTGAAGAACAACTACGTGAAATATCTGCTTGTCATATAAAACAACTGAATTCAGTAGTTCTTTCTGTCTATAGATCCACCAAGCATAAAAATTTAGATGGTTTCATACGTATAATATCTAGGACACTTCATTTTATTAATAACCTGAATCATTGCATCAGAGTGGTGGTTGCAGGGGACTTCAATGTTCATTTCAACAACTCTCAAGATGAAAATGCACGTGGAGTTTCTGATCTATTTGAGTATTCCGGCCTAAAACAAACAATCTTTGAGACTACTCATATACAAGGGAATTGTCTTGACAACAATTCTACAAATGAAAACTTAAACATCTCAAATCTATGGTGGGGTGCTTCAGATCATAAGTGCCAAATGATTGACCTGCTAGACGCCTCTCAGGTAGGAAAAAGAAAAGTTGACGACCACTTAAAAAATAGCAGAAGGCTGTACTCTCAATATGATATTGAACAATTAAATGGATTTTTGGAACTTGAGAAATGGCGTAGTGTATTTATTGAAGAAACTGCCAATACAAAATATAATAATTTCCTTGAGACTTTCTTTTACCATTTTAACAACTCCTTTCCTTTAACTTTGATAGGGCAATATAAAACTGACAACACAAACTGGGTAAGAGCAAGTACTGTTTCTATATAACTTTTATAAAAACCACCCGACCGAAAATATCAAAGCTGCATATAGACTTGGTAAAAATGTATATAATAAAATGTTAACGTACTCACGTGAAACTTTTAATGAAAGTAAAATTGAAAATTCTGAAAATGTCAGTAAAACTATTTGGAACATCATAAAGACTGAAACAGTGTCTATGTTGTTTAAAAGTGTGGTCATTTATTGTTGGACGTTCTTGGAAATATCATCGATACCTCTCTAAATGAAGGATGTTTAAGTTGGCAAGAATCTCTCCAATCTGTAAAAAAAATCCCAAGAACTAAATCAAACCTTCAAGCAGATATTTGAAACTATTCTTTATAATCAACTAGTTAATCACTTCGATAAGAACAAAATCCTGAGTACTCAGCAGTATGGTTTTAGGAAAAATATGTCCACTTTGGATGCTATCAAGTCCTCAACTCGTGCTATAAAAGCCAGTTTTGAAAGAAACGAAGAATTTTTGGGAATCTTCACAGACCTAAGTGCAGCTTTTGATTGTGTTGATCATGACATACTACTGAGGAAAATGGAGTACTACGGAATAAGAGGAGTGGCACTGAAACTAATCAAATCCTACTTGTCTAATCGATTTCAAGTAGTTTGTATTGAAAATCAGAGAAGCACTCCCCAGATAATGAGTAGAGGAGTTCCTCAGGGATCGATATTGAGCCCACTTCTCTTTAGTATTTATATAAACGATTTGCCAAATATGTTCACCTAAAACATCGAGACAATCATGTATGCTGATGACACCACATTTGGCATCAGTATTAATAAAGGGAAGTGTCCGGCTACAATCCTTGGGGAAGTTTCTGGGTGTAGATATAGATGTCATGCTATTATGGAACATACATATATATACCATTTGCAATAGACTAAATAGTGCAGTATCTGCTATAAGAAAAGTTAAACAACTTATTAACCAATCCACTGCCATAACTACTTATTATGCACTGTTTGAATCCAATTTTAGATATGGCTTGTCTTTCTGGACCTCGGCAGCTCAGTCTCATATAAATGCTATATTCGTCATTCAGAAGAGGGCTGTAATATCTATTATATGAGTTAATTTTAAAGACTTCTGCAAACCAATCTTTGAAACGTTGAGAATATTGATACTTTACTCTTTGATAATTTTTGTAAAGTTACTATATGTCAAACAAAACATTAATAGTTACTCTGTTGTGTCCGATATACACGGCCACAATACTAGAAATAAAGATAATTTGATTATACCTCAAACCCGGTTACAAAGAATGGACGATACTATTGATATTAAAATGTACAATGCTCTATCTACCTCTTGCAGTACGTTCTCTGAACTATACTAAATTCAAAAAACATTCAAAGGCATTACTTACGAAAAATCCCCTATATGGTATCAATGACTTTTTCCATTCATTCCCTGGACAATAGAGCAAAAATGCCTTTCACGATTGCATGTATATACTGTATTGTTATTTTTATTGCACTGTATCTTCTGAAGATTTTATACTTTACTTTTGGCATGTGTTAATTTGATGGTATTTTGTGACATGTTCTAAAGCTGTAGCTTTGTTATGAACCAAATAAAAAATTTGAATTTGAATTTGAACCTCTGATAGAGCCCCGCATTACCAGAGGAAGACTGATTACAATGAGGTTTCACCAGTTCCCCAAGGGGATCGTTCGTGACAGCATATCAACCTGCGGCCATTCAGCTGTCGGCACGATTTCTCACACCTTTGCTTGGGTAAGCTGGTCCATGGTGGCACGTTTTGCAAAGGATTTTGGGGGTTTTAGTTCCCTTCACCCTACTCATTTCTGCCACTGTCCGGCGACCCCGTCCGTAAGGCCACATTGTCTTCCCGGACAGGGTCTCCAGTCCCCTGGCCGTTCTCCTATCCACCACCTGGGGACGCGCCCTATTGGTAGCTCAACCCACGGGAGCACCATCTCTTATTTCTGTTCGTTGTTCGTTCAGCGGGGCCCCGCACCGTTACACCAATTCTCGTATGTCTACTTGCACGCCATCTCAGTTGAGCTATCTGAATGTTTATACGGATTGTATATGTATACATACATTAATACTCGACGAAACTCAAAACTACTGTTCAAGAATATATGAGAGGCAATAGAAATTCAGAACCACAGAGATACTTTCAACAGAGAAGAAGAGGAATTGAACAATAATAAAATCTGACTATCTGTATCTGTACTGGTGGCTAGATAATATTGATATTGAACGTGAAACATATTTCAGTACTGTAGTTGAGAACAACACTAGCACTTTGACCGTTACCTCTTCGGTTCTGATAATGTCTACCATAGTTGTAGAATCGTCAGACATAAAAACCTGCAGACCACCGCCCAAAAAAAATTAGAAAATAGCTTCAATACGTATGTACTGTGTACAAATACGAAATGAGTTACATTCCATATCGTATTTGTTTCAGCTAAAACCAATTCAGAGTAGCATATTTTTCATATGTCTATTCATGGGAAAGGATGTCGATTGTCGAGATATATTAGTCCCAGTAGTACTAGACGATGGAATTTGTTATACATTCAACATGTTGAACAGGGAAGATATATACAAAAAAGATATGTGAGTTGAAAATAGGTATTTGTATTATTAGGGAGGGAAGTACCAGTTTTCCTCGCGCAGGATCTAGTCCAAGGGAGAAAAAGGCACTTCACTCCTATGTACCTACAGCAGTACCTTTGAGACGCGCGAACGATAAAAAGAGATGGTAACTGTCCTCTGTCAACTTTCACCAGGAAATACAATCGAGAAAAGAATTTTGTCTCGAATGAATTGATAACTACACATATACCAGTAGGGAACAGAAACTCTAATACTGCCTTTCGTGCAGCTGGAAAATAATTGGCATATAATAGGTGATATACAGTGCTTTTCTGATAAAAGTATCCACCTTTAATAACTTTTGTAATACTGGTATTTAGGAAAAATCCAAAAACACGTCAATTTATGTTGGAAGGGGCAAGCATTATGGCTTATTTAAACTTACTGGAAAAGCCACTCCCTCACCCCTAGCATTATCCTTTTTTTTTAAATTACTTCTCATATTTTTTATGTTAAATTTGGATACTCCTCTTTGAGCTGATTTCAAAAAAGTATAATACTTGTAGGTTAAAGTGGTTAGTTTATGAGATAAACAATTTTTCTTTTAATAGCACAAATTTTACTTATTTTTTACTTTCACCTTATTCGCCTGTAATAAAGAGTTTGAACTGTTGTACAACCCATTTTAGTACAGGCAAATAAGGTGAAAGTAAAAAATAAGTAAAATTTGTACTATTAAAAGAAAAATTGTTTATCTCATAAACTAACCACTTTAACCTACAAGTATAAAAGCAAATAATTTCGATAGAACTATTATTATCATTATGAATTTTAAACAACAATAATATTATAGAAAATACAAATGGGTGCAAAAAAATGACTCATTGATCTAAATGAGGTTGTCAAACACGTATAGCCTACATTTCAGTATGTCGTCCTCCACGTTCAATACAAATTATAGTCCTTCTACTGACATCTGTAATTGCATTTTTAATAAATCGGGGATTTATATTTGCACAGGACTCGCGAATGGTATTTTCCAGATGTTGTATGTCAGTAAATGGTCTACTTCGGTACACGTTTTGTTAAAGGTAACCCCACAAAAAAAAAGTCCAATACGTTACGTTACGTTACGTTACGTCCAATAACTTTGCCTCTGAACATTTGTTAGAGGGACTGTTTTACAGCAACCGTGTGATGTATTGGGGCGCCATCAAGCTGATACCATAGGTCGTATTTAATATTCAAAGGCATATTATCTAAAACTTCACTAACCTCATTATTTAAAAGGTTGAGATAACCGACGGATGATAAATTTTCCCTAAAGAAAAATGGCCCAATTATTTGGTCGTTAAGTATCCCACACCATACATTAGTTTTAAAGGAATACTGATCACCACATTCAACTGTGAAATTGGGATTTTCTTGGGCCCACCATCGGCAATTTTGAGAACTTACCATTCCATTTGAAGAGAACGTTGCCTCATCTGTCCATAAAATTTTATACGGAAACTTTACATTTTCTTCTCTCTCTCCTTGAAACCAGAATGAAAACCCCAACATCGAAATCTTGTTCTTTTAATGTGTTAATAAATTTTGGCTTGCAAGGCCAAAATTTATTCTTTAATAAAATTTTTCTAACACTTTCTCTCTTGTAATCGGTATTTTTTATAATATCGGTTATGCTCGTTTGCCCGTGTTCAATAACTTTTAAACAAATGTTAAATTGGGCCTCCTCATCATATTTACGTGGAGTGTGCTTTTTCTTAAATTGATTTGCTACGGATCTTGTTTCTCTGAATTTCGACATTATCCTTGAAACAGTAGTATGTTGAACATGTTTTCCTGGATGCCGTTCATTAAAAATGTTAGCTACTTGCCGGTATGGTGTATTCTCACCATATATTAAAACTAGTTCTATTCTTTCCTGAAGTAACAACATTATTGCAACAATAACTGTTGAAAATTTGACAAGTAAATCAACAACTTGACACTACCATAGCATGCATTTTGTTTGTCAAGACCTACTTGAAAATTTTATTCAACGTGATTAAGTATCCTTACCGCCCTAGTTAGTGTTTATAAATAATCTGTAAATACTGAATATTGAAATTTTAATGTAATTTCAACTCTACTAATTTTATTAATACTTATTGCAGTTTTTGAGTTGTGTCTGCTTTTTCAAAATTGAAGGTACTGCTGTTTGTTTAAGAAAATAGCCAAAATGTCCGTAAAAGTGAAAATTTGGCATATGGATATAAAATTGCCGTTGACACAACTTTTTTAAGTAACTTTTTGTTAAATTCGATCTAGAAATGCACTTTTTCAATTTTTTTCAAAAAAAAGTTGAATTTGACAAACAATGAACGTAAGTGGGTCGCAGTTGGTCGCATCATTTTAAGTTAAATTTGAAACACAAATAAGTGCCAAAGTTAAACGTCATTGAAACTTTTTGAAAAAACAGTTTTCCATATGGTGCGCACTTTATGTTCATCATTTACTGCCTGAACCACTGAGCCTGCTGTTTTGCGAGTGCATTGGCTTGAAATGTGGGGGTTGAGCAAACCAGCCATCGGATGCCTGCTTCCACGTAGCCTCAGTGGATACGGGAATGACAGAATAACTTGTGGCTCTGTTATACCCTAACTGAATGGTATTCCAACGATGTCTTAATCCTAAATTATCTGTATCCCTGCCGAGAGGATGAATGACAATGAACCTATCAGCTGTGTCTACGGAACCTTCGAGAGACCGGCAGCTGTACTTCAAATTTAAAATATATTAATGAGCTGATGATAGCAAAGGTGAAACAGTGTCCATTTTAGGAACGGACTGGGTTCCTTTGTATATGACTTTTAGAGAAAGTTTAGAAATTTCTTATACCATTTATAGTCTTCAGGTCTTCAGGAGGAAGGTTGACACATTTTTGGAATGAGTTTTCCTGAAACCTGGAATTTGTTATATTGTGATCATACTTGAACTTTTTATATGCGATATTATTAAATAAAAGATTGGCTGATCATGATTATGTTCTATTATGTGCCATAATCTGATGTTTTTTGCGTAAAATTGTTCTATATGACCTTATGCGGTTTTGTTTGATTTTCAACCGCCATGTTGTTTTAGAGCTGCACTATCTCCACCTGCGTTTACTAACAGAATTTTTAAAATTATCGATCTGTGGGTGTTTTCTTCTTGAACACCTTCTAGTCTAGTTGATTACCTTCCTTGATGACTAAAACACAGCACACAGTGCTGTGTATAAAAACTTTGCGAAAAATCAGCACTATAAATGATACGGCACAAATGAGAGCTTCAGTTTCAGTTGACACGCCAAGAAGAGTACTTCGACCTATAGAGTGTTAGGAATCACACGTTGAAAGGTAAGACCTCGTTAGTCCTTAACTCGCACAAGTTTCTCAACTTCTGAGAGTTGTTGTTCGTATGGGGGCGACAGCTGATTAACGGAAAAACATATTTTAAACAGATTTAAACACCAGTGAAGATGATTGCCGCAGTTGCTGTTGAAACGGCAAAACCCAGAAACCAACTAAAACATATTCTGCAAATGTTTGTGATACTTTAGAATATTTTTTGTCAAAAATGGAATTGTTTGGATAGGATTTTATTTCCTACCTCCATAAATATAAAAACATCATCAAAGGCTTCGTCAGGAATGGTTTTATTCCTCCTCTTGCGAAAGTTTCAGCTTCATTCGGTTTGTATTCGTCATTTTGGCAATCAACTTTGTATATTCAATATCGATATTGAATATACCATCATTCTGGTACCATGAAGGCTTGAAATAAGCACCTACAACTTCCATGTAATGATATGGATTTCGCTAAAAACATTCTTTGATATTCTGGAGCATTTCTGGAGTGATTGGGCGACATTCATTTGTGTTTGGTTGTCGTGGTTGCACAAATTCTACTTCACACGTGCCTTCATAGAAATTAATCTAGGAAAGATAGATCTGGCGATCGTGCAGGCCATTTGATAGAACCTTGCCTACCAATTCAGTAACCGGGAAATTTAAACGAATTATTTACAGCTGTGCGTTCATTTGTGTAAAATTTTTCTGTGATGAAACATGTTTATGTAAAAAAAGTTCAGTTACATTTCTATCGTTCTACTTTCCTCTACTGAAAAAAATACTGAATATATTAGTAAATCCGTTGATTTCAATAGAACATTTTCATTGTAGTGTTCATTATGACGACTACCTCCAGAATAAAATGAAGCCCAACTGGACTATCGACGGAGGATACCCCAAAAGCACGGGGAGTGACACATACCCTAGAAGGGCTCTACTGGCTGGTGCTGACAGCGCTTTAGACATATTCATGTTACAACCATCTGAAGATACGGATTACCTCTGCCTCAATGATGCACCTGGATATAGTGTAAGTGTAATTTGAGATAGTGAAGCTGGTCAACTAGGAGAAGCTGCATGCTCAAAATAATGTAACGAATTATGTAGCACTGTCAATCTAACGAAAAATCACTGTATATACATGATTTATCATTTACCTTGAAGATTTCCCAAATTCTGCATAGAGAAAAACAGTATTTTCATATTGATGTTAACGTCTAATAGAGTATAAGAAAATCAAACCAATTATTATATTGTGTTACTTATTACAGGATAATGGTTCAAAACTGTTTCAAAAGCAACCAAAATCTATTGTCATTCCACGGTCCCATCTTCATTCATCACAAGATCCTTCTGAGCAACAGAAGTGAGATTAAATTTTATGATATGTGATATCGAATATTCATTATGTGATCTTTGAAATCCAGTATATATTAACGTCTGACCTTGCTGGTCAGCACAGCGCATTAATGTGGAACTTTAGATTTCAAAATGATCAAGCAGTTTCAAAAACTTCTATCGTGTTCATTCGTTCTGTGAATTTCATCTCATTAATTTAGTTCATGAGCAATGACAATAAATTTTGTTTCGTTTCATTTTCGAAAAAGCTGATTTGTACAAAAAAAAGGGTTTTTAAATTATTATTCAAACAAAATTATGGAAACTGAAATAACTGGGTTCTTAAAATAATATGGAATGTTGTGGAATGATCAATTAGGATTCAAATTTGACTTTTGCATTTGATGGAAAAGTGTATCTGATTCATTGTTGAATTCATTGATATCGGGTACAACAGTAATTGCACAACTGGATATAAAGGGACCTATCAGGTTTTTGAAATTTTGTTCAAAAAAAGTTGCTTTGGTTGCGCAAAAGCAAAGAAGAACAGACTTTGGAACCTGATAATTTCTGTCGATGCAAAGGTAGAATACGTGAACCCTGTAGACTGTAGACCATTATTTATCAGCAACGGTATCTAACCCCCACCTGCATTTGTATCCTAGAGTCTGTATGTCTAATACATAACCCCAAAACCAAACAGTACGAAATATGTTAAGGGCAAATATCGGAAAATAAAATACCTCTGCCTATTTTGAAATTAACTTTGAGAAATGACTTTCTGATTCATGAAAGCAGATAAATATATAATCACGTAAACTACGAAATCAGAAATGAGGAACTTCATTACAAATTCAGGAAAATAATGAAAGGAGCTCTATCCAAAACAGTGTTTTGTAATTTTGAGGAAACTCTGCTATGAATTCATTTTAAATATGATTTTATTCTCAGTATGTATTCTTTATATTTTATTTGCTTTTTTGATTGATTTTTATGTGATTCTTTATGTACTCAGTTATTTTATCTATATTTGACATATGTATATGTTTCAACTGAATAGTAAAGGATTGTTCTGATTTTGTAAATATTTTGTATATTTAAAAAAGCACACTTTTACATTTTTTCACCTAACTTGCTTTATCAATTAGTAGAACTTAATTTCTTGGACAATAAAGTATATTTTCCTCTTTCAAACTTTCGGACCCAAAAAAGAAACAATCAAGCTTCAAGGAGAGACAAACTTTTGAAGAACTATATTATATGGTATTCCTCAGGGAGGAACATCATATACTATAGTTTTGTATTAGACGTTTCAGCTCCCATTTTGGAGCCAATTTCAAAAATTTGATGTGACTTGACGCCGGGCCTCAATCTGCCCACTCCATAGAGTACAGATCACTTTAAGACACTTGAAATGGGATTTTGAACGCTATTTTTGGCAATATTTTCTCACGGTTGATTTTGAATGTTTCTTTCAGGTTGTACTCCATACACCACACACAGTTCCTCAGCTAAAGAAACATTCGCACTTGGTCCCTCTGGACACCTCGGTTCAGATCGTAGTTCAACCGAAAATGATGACCACATCGAAAGAAGTTAAGAATTACAGACCTTCCGTTCGACAGTGTTATTTCTCTGATGAAAGGTTCTTGAAGTACTTCAATATTTATACACCAGATAATTGCAGATTGGAATGTTTGACGAACTATACGTTGAACATGTGCGGTTGTGTGAATTTTTACATGCCTAGTAAGTGATCATCTGTCTCACACATGGCGAAATTTTGTATTTGAATTGTCAATCCGAGTTAGATCTTTTTATGGCTTCAAAGTACTCAAATATACCTATCAGCAACAAAATAGTTGAAATCGATCGGCCGATTTTTAAATTTTTGTTCTCTTTCCTCGATCTTGCTATATTAATACTGGTTTTCCTGAAAATAAAAAGCGTTTCAAATGTGTTGCTCAACAGGAGGGTACTCAAATACACTTCGGGAATCAGCAACAAAATAGTTGGCATTGATCGGCCGATTTTTAATATTTTTTTAAATTCTACCTGGTGTTCAATCTTTGTTTGGCAAAGCCTAAAGCGGTGCCAATGACAGGTTCTATTCCAATGAAGTCGCTTGCAGCACCCTCCTTTGCAAGAGAGTCAGCAGATTCATTGCCCTCCAGGCCAGTATGGCCAGGAATCCAGACCAGAGACAATCTGTTAAGTCTTCCTATTGAGGAGAGTCGTTTGGGGCAGTTTGCTACCAGCTTAGACGTTGCTCGGTAGAAGCCAAGAGCTTTCAACGCCGCTTGACTGTCCAAGAATATTTTTATTGCCTTGTATATGAGGTTGGATTCTTCCAAACTCTCCGCATACGATTCGATAGCATACATTTCCGCTTGAAATACAGTCGCATAAGTTCCTAGGCAGGTTGATATCTCTGGGTCTGCGAATGAAAACACCTGCACCAGAGCCTGAAGGTGTTTTTGATCCATCTACGAACCAACAACTATCTCGTCCTAATATTTCCTTTTTCCGGGGGATCCAGTCCTCTCTACTCGGGAACAGTACTTCATAGTTATCATACGAAGTATAAACTCGGTATGATTACTCTTGAGAAAGTCACTGTATAGCAAGACACGTGTTACTATTTTGTAAACTTACCAGTGAGAATCTCACAAAAATTGTTACTAACTTGCTCAGCGTCATATTCAAATTGATTCTACATCATACTAAACGTTGATGATTTTTTTTTGTAGGAACCAACTCGACTAAAATTTGTGGCAATGGAAAATTGAAATGTATGGATGAAGCTGAGTGTGAGTATCTAACGGTATCATATACAAATCTGAAAATCGGAGTACACATAAAATATTGATATAAAATAGATGTGAAAACAATAATACAACATTGGTTGGCATTTAAACTACTTAAGATCAATTCTGATGAAACATATCATCTATCTCTCAACTGCAATTCATACGGTCACTTGGTGTGGCAGATCACACGAATTATTTCACTATGTTACATGAAACTGAAGTTGAATATTTAAAATGGGACCACACTTTACCTATCTGATGAAAAATCTTGAAGTATTTGGTCCATATGAGAAAAACTTCAAGAATGCCATATGCCAAGTTGAAATACTGAATGCCACTTAGGGACAAAATGGAAAAGACTACAACAGTCTTTGCAAACAACCTACCAATGTGCTATCTTGCTGTTACTCAGCTACAGATCAGAAATTGGGAAAGAATAGGTAGATTGCTGTTCAGCCGAGCAATCAGCAAGTCTTCTGCTTGAATGTAGCAATCGGTTTTATTTACTTGCAAGGTAAAACTTAACGACATAAATGATGACAAAGAAAACTTAAGTATCTAAGTTTGAGCATATTAATAACTAACAAATAATTGAAATGAATCACAGTAAAACGAAAACACTAATGAGATTTATGTGATTGTGATTTTCCACCGACAATACTTTGTAGTTGTGGATCCATTTTACTTGTACCAATTATCAAAAGAGATTTAAGATGCTCATCGGTTGATTGAGATATGTAAACATTCTTTGTGTACTTCATCTTGGAAAACTTTTTCTCACACAAATAAGTAGTACCAAAAACAGAAAACAACACACGACAAATTTATGCAAATTATCAAATTGTTTCAGTGGAAGACTCTTATAAAATTCCAACAAAGATGAATTTTGATATTTGTTCTTGAGCATATCACTGCACCGTAAATCAATAATTTCCATTTGGACTTCCGGAGCCAGGGTTTCAATGTCAAAATCAAAAGGATTTTGAAAAAGCTCAACTTCATTCGCAATGACATCAAAATCTGAAAAACGAGTATCAAAATTTATCTTCAAAGCACTCAAAGTTTCGATTGCAAAATTGACGGAAAATTCAGCTTCTGTACTGTGGCTGAATATTTCACATGTTTCAAAATGTGTGAAACATTTTCTACGTAATTGCGATTGAAATAGTATTATTTTCTGCCTGAAGGATTTGATATTGGTGTATAAATCAGGGAGAAGCTGATTTTCTCCTTGCAATCTCAAATTCAGTTCGTTCATATGATTTGTCAAATCGACACATATTACTGGACTCAATCACAAAATACTGAAAGTTCCACTTTTCTTGGAACGTTCTGCATTCACTGTCGATTTTTCGCTTCTTTTCCATACTAACAAATCACACATAAAAACAATAAGTCAAATCAAAATACTTTTATTGACGGGTGTTACTTTATTTCACAATAGACAGTATCGCTTCCCTCGCCTTTCCTACGCACACTAACTCGCAGTTGCGCCGCTAGCCTTTTTATATGCAATTATTACTGCCATCTCGAGGTGATCGAAATACACTAGCTAGAACCAGAACTTTCTCGAACCAACGCGGTAATTCCAAATATTTAGTTTCGCTTAATGCCACCTAGCGGGTAGCTGAAAAAGATAGTACATAGTACCACGACTCGCCACTAGATGTCGTGTCACAATACACAATAATAATTGAAATGCAAAAAAAGCGTAAGGGCAGAAATTGGCCCTCAGAACAAACAGAAAAAATCATTATGGTGCGAAGGCTTCAAAGTTTGGAGACCCCTGGTATAGACTATACCAAGTACATCATTGATATTTTGAGATCTTCGTACTGTAAGAAATCAAACTGGCATTTTATAGATAGATAGATAGATAGACAGTTCTTTATTTCCAACAGGTATAAGGACACCCAATAACAGGAAATGTATAAACTGGATAAATGTAAATATAAATAAAATGTTTTGAATGTTATAGAAATGTACATTCACATGTGTGTGTTAGCAGGATTAGATACTAGAGATAGTGTAGTTGAATTGAGAATTTTTTTGAGGGCGAAACACAAGAACTACAAGAAATTCCTTAAAGCACTCTAAGAGCGATGCCTGTGGCAAAGTATCGATTCACACTGGATTTGAATCGCTGGAGATAAAACCAATTTGGAGAAACGTTCTCAGAAAGTTTATTCCACATAAACGCAGTTTATGTGGAATAAACGCAGACAAATCCCCAACCTTTCTTCGGTGTTCCAGACTATCAAGGTTGCACGTGATGTTCGCATTTTCAGTCAGGCGGATGACTCTTTTCTGGATGGAATCCGGCAGCTTCAGGAATTGATTAGGGGCGGAGCTCCGGATATGATAACAATACTCCAAAAACGGTTTGATCTGAGCTTTATAAAGCATTAGAAGTTGCTGAGGTGTGTACAGTTTTCTGGATCAAAATAGTGTTCCGAACTTTTGGGAAGCAGCCTTTGCAATTCCAGCGACATGATTGTGCCAAGACATATTGGTGTCCATTTGAACCCCCAACAAACTTATCGAAGCAGAAAGCGGAATTGTCTGTCCTGACATTATCATATCCGGTTCGGAGACATTAATCTTTTTTGGAGAAAACCGATACATGTGTTTTCTGGCATTGAATTGAACCTGGTTAGTCCACCCCAATTTGTTATTAGTGATAACATCAATACCAAATGTAAATGAATTTGATTAAGAAATGTTAGTTACGGCAGATCGTCATCAGAACATTTTGTGGCGATTTGAACAGTGTAAACATATTACCAGGCAGGTTTATCCCTTTGGATATTTACACAATGATTGAGGACACCACTCATCAATCTCCCTCTTCCCCCCTTGTCTTTGTATAGGGCAGACAGAGGGTATGACCTTACCCTTCCTTGGTTTCACTCTCAATTAAGAATCGACAATGAAATTGAGAGGTTTTGAAAATTCATGTGTATATTATGTTTCCATTCCATTTTCAATATATCAATTCTCCTTCTGAAAGTGATATGACAATCAGACTTTTCCACATGAACCTCTAGAAGATGGAATGAGATTCAGGAAAATTAACCACCATGAAGTTGACAGTCATCGAGTGCTAGGCTACGAGTAGATAATCCCATTAATACAACTATTAGCATTGCGTAATTTGTTCCTAATTTCAGATGAGATGAAGGAGAAAGAAGTAGAGATCATGCTGGAAAAAAGCAGTGACCTAAATTCAGCTTGTAACTGCATGCCGCTCTGTACAGATCTCAGTTACGACGTTGAAACAGCTCGAACAAAATTTCTTTGGAGAGAGCAGTTTAGAGCAGAGAAAAAGGTCGCTGAGGACTTAGATTCGCAGAAAATCA